AGTCCAGTTTTTTCTATTGTCATTACTTTCTAGGTTTGGACAATAAATAATATTGGTCTTTCTATCTTTACTCAACATTGTCTTCAATCTTCACACAATCTAATTGAATTTCTTCAATCTTGCCTCTGGAGCCTGATCTAAGAGCTCTTACTGTTTCAGTTAATATTCTTTCTGAAACCAGAAGGCTGGTGGTTCAAACCTACCAGCCACTCCTAAGAAGGAAGACTGGGCAACCTAATTCCCTAGAGATAGCACCTCGGAAACCCAAGGAGGGACTGCTATGAGTCAAACTGACTTGAAGGCAGTGAGGTTTTTTTGTTTTGTTTTGTTTTTTAATTTTTCTGGATATAATATCATTTTTGTTGTTGTTGTTGTTGTTATTTGCCATTTAGTCTCACCTGTCTCATAGCGACCCCTCTTTGGGTTTCCAAGGCAGTAGTTAAAATCATAAAGTCAGAGAATCCAACCATTCTAAAATACTGGTATAGAACAAATCAAATTCTGTAGTTACCTATACCCCAACTATCAACCAACCAACAAAACCAGATCCCAGTTGACTGGTACAGAAAGGTTCAACAATTTAGCTGACAAACAGTAAGTTTTCAAAATAATGTAGTATTAAAAATTCAAATGTCCCAGAAATTCCAATGTTCGGAAGGCAGTAATTACAGCATCTGAGCACATCTGCTTAACAATCCAGGAACATGGGAGGTTCATATTAACCTTAACCAGACACATTTTCATCAAAATTAATCATGATTACTTTTTATTGCATTTCAAATGCTGTCCTTTATTTGGGGTGGTCAGGAATGCAACTCAGCAATTCCAGATCATCCTATCTTTTATAAATAAGTCTATGAGGCATTATCAAGGCCTCTTATGAAAATATTGCCATATAAAAGTTCATGGGCCAAAATAAGACATTAATTTCCATAATTAGATGTGTCCTTAGAAAAGAAAAATGCTATATACAGAAAAGACAGAAACTTTGATGTTCATTGAATGTCAGAAAACAACTGCGTAAATACCCATGTGTATAACAGATATTTTTTTGAATGCTTCTTTCGCTTTTTCCTTGGTATTATAATAACTATAGTCATCAACACTTATTTTGCAAGTAACCTGTGCAAAGTGCAATTTTAAATTATTTATATGCATTGGTCCTTTAATTATCACAACAGTTCTATGCAGTAGATGCAATTATTATTCCCATTTTATACAGGAGGAAACTGAGGCTTAGGGAAGTTAAGTAACCTGCCCAAGGATGCTCAACTATTAAACTGTGACACTTGGAATGAAACCCAGCCATTCTTGTTCTAGAGACAGTTAAAGAATACAACATTGCTGTTTTCCTACTCACTGAAAACCACCAACATAATCAACTGTTATGTTTTGTGCCCTGACTAGGCCTTGCTCTATCCAACCTCTGTACCTCTGCTGACAGTTCTCAGGCCCAGAGGGCCCACCTAATCCATATGACTCTCTGCTACTCCACAGTTTTTTTATCTTCTTTTTTTAACTTTCCATATCCCTCATTATCTAAAGACAGTCAGTCCTTGGTTTGAGTACTGGCTGTAACACCTACTAAATGATATTGGACACTTAGCCTCTGAGCCTCCTTGTTATATATCAGATGGGATAATAGTAGTTACTCTACTCCATTTGAAGGTTGTCATGGCTATCTGTAGTTTTACCCACCCACTAACCTTTCTGTGACAAAACTCATCTCTTTCTGGTAGGAGGACATATGTCCCCACTCTTAGCCCATATAATTTGGGTGAGATTGTCCCCTTGTCCCTATGTTCCAGGGGTGATCATGTAAGCCTAGCCTGGCCATTCATGTAATTTATCAGCCCTTGAACGTTTGCTAGAATTACTAAGAAAGAACCATTCTGCTCCCTGAGAATGCAGAATGTAGGCTGACTGCTGGTCGCCTCCATCATTATCACATGTGGAGAGCTTCCAGAGAATTGAGCAAAGCAGACTTGAGGGCTGCATGGAGACAAATTCCTCAAGCCAGTATTTGGATATCTGAATCCCATTAGGACTGAAATCCACTCCTGGCCTTTTCAGGTAACTGAATCAACAGACTCCCTTTTGCTTAATTCTGATTGAGCTGTGTTCTTGTAACTTGCATCTAAGATCTTAACTAATAGTCATAGAATTCAGTAAGGCAATAGTTAACATAAAATATAGACCCACTAAAACCCACTGCCATCAAGTCGATTCTGATTCACAGCGACCCCCATTGGGTTTCCGAGGCAGGAAATCTTTACAAAAGTAGATTGCCCAGTCTTCCTTCTGTGGAGCACCTACTACTTTGTCTTTTATATTAATTTCTTCAAGGCAAGAAGGTCTATCATCAGGTCTACCTCTACTCCTTCTTAGCGTATCAGTTAAAAACTTTTATGAGACTCTAGGTTTCCCATCTGTAAAATGAGTGTGATGATCATGGCTAAATCACCAAAACTGTGAGGAATAAATTTAAATAATGTACCTGGCAAGAAAGTAAAATGTTCTGCAAATTTTATTTATTATTGGATTAATCTTAAGGCTCCAATCTAACGTCGCATGTGACAGATGAAGAAACTAAAACTCGAAGAAGTCCCATATCCCCAGGATGTGATTTTCCAAGAGCTCCAAGCAAGATGTGGTCTCAAATAACTTACTGGTTCATACGAAGGTAGTCCCAGGACTAGTAGAAGACCAGATTTTAGTACCGTGCCTCTCAGTAAATACACCCAATCCACCATCAATGCAAAATGGGCTTACGTGACACCTTTAAGACACTGCAGGACAGAGTATCCCCCATGTGTGATAACTCACATAAGGCATTTCTTTCTATTTGCTACTCTAGAACAATTCTTTATTTCTCTTTTGGTCATTTTTTTTTTTTTTTAAATGAAGTATGAGTACATATTGCAATTATCTAGCTTCTTCTATGTTCAAGGAGGAAACCTAATATATAACTGAGGAAAGACACTAATTAACAAGCAAAATTCAACAGTAACTCCAGCCAAGTAGAAAGTGAACTGTGCTGTTTAAAGGCACATTGGAATAAATAAAAGAACTTCAAAGCAAATGCCCTATGTTAGCTTGAAAGTTTTATTGAGCACATAAGGAGAGCTGCTTTGCCAAAAATAGGAATGGTTAATGAGGGAAAATTCATGTTTTCAGTTGGTCAGTCAGTTTTCGAGATAGTGAGCTGTCCACTGAGAGATAACTATATTCTGTGGAAAAGACAGCATAATGATCCAGCCTTAGAATTTTGAACAAAACAAATTTTATAAACTGCTTGTGACTAACTTAATACATCTTTTTCCAAATACATTCTGTGATAATACACACATATTTCCCTTCCACTATCCTCCAAACAAATGAAATAAACATGTGAAAGGAAGACTTGTCTGTTTTAAGATTCTTTCCAACTATATAAACACAGCCCTTACCTTTGCAGATAAGGCAGAAGAAATAAAAGGCTGGGCTCCACCATAATCAACTTCTCTTGGGCACCATTTTGAAAACGATGCTTCACCTCAGAAAGACCTATTGAATTCCCTAGGCATGCATTGTTAGTGCCAGATTCAGAGCAAAGGAAAGTTTGCCATTTCTGTGAACATTTCACAACATTTCAGAGTCACTCTCCAGTTACACAGGGATGAAGAAGAGAAGGCTGGGCTCACCTGCAAGTGCTGTGAGTTGTCAGCCATGCTGTCTTCTCGCCTGCGGACTTCTTCCATTAACTGGGCATTCTTCTTCTTTTCCAGCTGTTGATTGTGCTTGAGGTTGGCCACCTTTTTATTCTGATCCTTCATGTGCCTAAGGAAAGTCAGCACATCTTGGTTACATTCAGCCACAGGGAGATCCTATTTTATCCTGACAGATTCAAGAAGGACTAAGTATACTATGCCTTGACATAGGTTCAGGAAAACTTAGGACCTGAGGATATGTCACACATTCAACCATAAATATGGATTGGACACTCCATGCCAGGGCATGACGGCAATAAGAACAGTACAGTCTCTACCTTTGGGGAGCTTAGAATCTAGTAGAGAAGACAGATGAGTTTCAATGAGGCAAGTAAATGAACAGATACAGCTCAGATTTCCAAATGTAGAAGGAAATAAATGTTGTGCTGTGAGAGATGACAATCATATGTGTGAGCAGGTGGTAGGTGAGGAGAGATATCTTTGGACACTGTGGTGAGGGAAGACCTCCTCAAGGAAGCAAGGCTATGGTTGAGACTTGAAGGAGCTAGTCAAGAGAAAAGGCACTGGAGGAGTTCCCCATGTAGAGAGAAATGCACATATAATTCCTAAGGCAGGGAAGAGGTAGGCTACTTCAACAAACTGGAAGGCCAGAGTAGGGTTAGCACAAGGTAAAGGAGAGAAAGTATGGTAGGAGAGGGGACAGCAAAGGTAGGCAGGGCCATGAGGTTCATGATGAGGAGTTCATTTTCTTCAAGGAAGCTGATATTCTAATTATTAATTTTCTTTTGGATCACATTCTTATTCTGAGATCATAATCCATTACTTTGATTTTAAAATAATAGTAACAATCATTGTCATTGGTCATTATGTCCAGAAACTGGGATGAGTAGGGGTTTTGCTCTGTATAATTTCACCAAAAATAAAACTAAGTGGAAAAAGAATAGCAATTATGAGTCTCCAATCAAAAACATTGTCATCACTTAGCTGAAACACAACAATATTTTGGCTAATCATAAAGTTAAATACAGCCTCTAGTGCACAGAATAAAAGTTCTTAATGAATCTAAAAGATATCAAAGTGCAAAGTTATAAAGTGAACAAGTGGGTAAAGAGAAAATAGAAAAGAGGGATTAAGAAAAAAGGTGGTACAGGCTTAATGTGGACCATTTTACCAGCAGCATTTAGCAAAACATTCCGCAGATTTAGGCAACCATGTCCACAGCAGCTGTTATAAATCTAATCAAACACATGAGAAGGCAGGAGGGCAACCCGAAGGGAGGCGGGGAGCATTCAGGGTCTTTGCTAATCTCTTTACCCCCTTCCCAGCAGTGCTACATCAGTCACTGTTAACACTGTTAGGCCTATGCCCTGCCTACCAAAACAAGGGTGATGAGAATCTCTACTTTTGGCGGAAATACAAACAAAATGAGAGCTAGATGAGAAAAAGCATACAATAAAACAATTAAAATTTAAACAATTAAAAATTAAATAAAGACAACTCTCAACAAAAAGTTTTATTTTTAGATCTCATAAAATTAAGTCATCCCCTAGTCTCTCCAGCACAAGAAAACAACATCCAAGATATTTTTTTATTAAGTTCAAGAATCTTCTATTAGGCATCCTGCTAATAAAAATATTCTAAACACCTTAGTTTCTTATGGATATTTATAGTACCAACTGAATATTTAACTGATTAAATATTTCTGTGACCCTAACAAGCTATATGGTAAGAGAGAATAGCTATCTCGTTAGTCAATTTTTGGATAATTTTTTTGGATTGGATAATTTTTGCCTGATACTTCCTGTTTCTACCCAATATGGTACAGTACACGTATGAACCAACTGAATGAAGTCAATATACTCACCCATTTTTAGAAAATTATGTTTGGTCACTGTACAGATGTTAAGAAGGACCTCATGCTCCCTAACTGAACAAGGATATTGTATTTTGAAAGCTCAAACTAATTAGAGGGGAGAATATTGTCCAATTCCTTACAAAATAAAGTGAATAATAGGATGGAATTCAAAGTAGTTGGAAAGTATAGTGGTAGGGTTAGTTTTCAATGTTCCCCTTAATTTAATCTTTAAAAAGAGTGGTGTCATAAAGCAATTATGATTAGTGAGATCATTTAGTGGACATTTTTATTCTTAAAAAAAATACTTTTTGTTACTTTTATAGTACACTGATAAATAGAAGCAATTGCTAAAAGTATTTTTAAGCATGACTGATAAAATAGATTATTACAGACATCATTTGCATATTTAAAGAACCTGCACAAATTTTTGGTAGCAGTCTGGAAATACAGATTTTTTTTTTCAGGGATGATGCAATGAGAAATTTTCATTAGATTCAAAAATAGAAAAAACTGCAAATTCATGTGTCCCTTAAAGCTTTCTTGAATTAAAAATGAGAGGGTTTATCATTCCATTTATCATGGAAACTGAAGTTTAAACACATGATGGAGGCCAATCTTTAGCATCCTTTCATCATTCCTTTGTATATGTACTGGATTATTTAGGATTAGGACACCAGTGATTTAAAGAGAAAAGTAGGGCTTTGAATGGTACTACTTAAGATTCTGACCCATTAGATCACTGCAGAACAAGGTGATGAAAATGATCATCTTGTCTTGGTACACGTGAACATCAACAGGTACATACAGTATGGTGTGCCCTCCCCTGCAGTTGAATCAAGGTTTCCAAATGAATTGCTAGCAGTACGACTCTTTCTTCCAATAAAAGCTTACATGGAAGCCAAAGATAAAAGCAGATTTGTTCTAGCTGAGGTAGGAAGGAGTGGGGTGGGATAGAGAAAGGTGAGCAGAGTCTCACCTACTAGACAACCCCCATCTCAGTTGTTCCCCTCTAGAAAGCCCTAAGGTTGCCTGAAGCACGTGCTAAAACTTTTTACAGGGTAAATGGGAAGAGAGAAACAGATAGAGAAGGTGTGAAATTTAAAAATAATAGATCTTTGGAGAAGAGAAAGTGCCCCCAGAGATGCTCAGTAGGCAGATGCTTGTTGAAGGAAGAACATAGTGACTTTCCTAATAACACCATCAACACTTCCTAGAATAAAATCTGTAACTGATCCCTCAGTGCCCACATTTTCCCCACCTGTATTAGTAAGCTCTCATTGAATAAATCAGTGTGTTAAACCCAGTGCCACTCCTAATTGTCTGTAACATCTGGAAGGCAAGACCTCTGGGGAGCAGATTGAAGGCCTGCCGGGGCGATGCCACCTCAGAAGGGAAGTATCCCTGGCAATGCTTCCCAAGCTTCCATCCACTGGGCTTCTCTAGCAGTTCCAAGGTGCTGCCAGACACTGACCTGCTCCGTGTTTCTTTGAAATGTTTCTTCAAGAAAACATCATAAAAAATATAGTCAAAGTGCAAATTAAACAACAATAAAAGCAGTCAGGAGGGACAGTTGGAAAGTACAGCGGTAGGGTTAGTTTTCAACATTCCCCTTAATTTAATCTTTCAAAAGAGTGACGCCATAAAGCAAGTCAGGTCAGTTTTCAAAATCGAGCCACTAGTTGGGATTAAAACAACAGGTATCAAGGCCAATCATGGCTCCCGTATTAAGAATGAATGTCAGAGAGAAGAAAATTCTGACATTTTCGCTACAATGGTTTCTCAGATTAAAATTAGAATATGTGCGGAAAAAATGTCAATCAACAAATGAATGGATAAACACAATGTGGTACATACATATAATGGAATACTACTGAGCTATAAAGTACAATGAAGTCCTGATACATTTTACAATATGGATAAACATGGAAAACATGCCAAGTAAAATAAGTCAGTTACAAAAAGGACAAATACTGTATGATCCCACTTACATGAAACATAGGAAAATATTTAGAGATCAAAGTTTATTAGTGGTTGCAGAGGGGAGTCATTGCTTAGGGAGCACCTAGTTTCTGTCAATGTTGGTGGGATAATTGGGAAAAGGAGAGTGGTGATGTTTGCACACCATGACAGATGTAATCAATGCCACTGCACTGTGTATGTAAAAGTTACTGACTTAGCAAATATTTTGTTTTATCTATTTTAACCGCAATAAAAAAATTAATTAAAAAAATTAGAAGGTGTTCCCTAACTTGCTGGTGAGAGGACAGGAGGCTTTGAAATCACCAGAATTACATACAAGGAGTACTCAACAGGAGACACACGTTTCTTCAAGGGCATGTGTATATATATGTACGTAAAGAACAAAATCAAAACCTCTTTTCTTTTTACAACTTCAAGTTACCAGCTTTTACTCATCTACTCTCAAATGCTATAAAAGGTTGATAACACTCACTGTTGGACAGGATCCGGAATCTAGCTCTCTCATATGTGGTCTGGAGGAGTGTAACTGACAAAGCATTTCTGGTAACCAATTTGGCAGTATCCCCCAAAGCATATATATTTTTTGCCCAAGCAAACCTAGTTCTAGGAAAGCAGCCTATAAAAATACTTGTATAAGTGCACAAATATATATGTGCAAACATTTTCATTATGGCACTGTGGAAGTAAAAATTTGAAAACTCTGTAATTGTGCATCAGGAGGAAACTGTCTAAATAAATTATGCACATTTGCAGTATGGAAGCCTAAGCTAGCTAAAAAGACTAAGACAAAACTGAAGTATCAACATGGAAGAACCTTTAAGACATACTGTTAATTGAAAAAGAAAGCAGGTAGCACTTCAATCTTTTTTATGATAAAAATAAAGCCTATTTGGATGTATGTACATATGTACTTGTAAATGGAAATCCCACATCAGTCTGTAAAAAATGCCAAGAAAGGGAATGGGATTGGAGAAGAAAGAGGAACTTCATAATTTACTGTATGCATTTGTGTGTGTGTGTGTGTGTGTGTGTGTAGATATAAATATATACAAGAAAGGGTATAGATCCTACAGTACACAATTCAATAATTTTTGACCAATCAAAATATAAAACATTGCTATCACCCAGCATTGCTTACCTCCCTTTCTAGCCCATTCTCAACCTACACTGATTTGTTTTGGCTGTTGTTTAAGTTCATATACATGTAATCATTAAGTATACAGTTTTTTGTGTCTGACTTCTTTGACTTAGTATAAAGTGTTTGACAGGCAACC